TCTTATATGATGAAAGAAATTAAAGGAGATTTAAATAAACGAAGAGACATATCACGTTCATGGCTTGAAAGACAACATAGTAAAGAATTTAATTACCATATAGGGCAAAGGGAAAGTCTCAAGCGAAATTTTAAAAATATTTTTAACTCAATGAAAATGAAAATACAGCTTATCAAAATTTGTGGAATGCAGTGAAAATAATGCTTAGAGGGAAATTTATAGCATGAAATGCATACATATACTAGAGAAGAAAGGAAAATTTAATTCCATAATGTAAGCTTCCACCTTAGGATACTTGAAAACAAAGAGCAAATTAGATCCAAAGGAACTAAAAGAAAAGAAATAATAAGAATTAGAGTAGACATCAGTGAAATTAGGAACAGGAAATCAATAGAGAGAATCAACAAAACCAAATGCCGGTACTTTGAAAAGACTGATAAAATTGATAAACATCTAACTAGGTTAACTAAGAAAAAAGAGAGGACACAAATTACTAATATTAGAAATAAAAGAAGGACCATCACTACTGATCCCATGGATGGTAAAAGGATAGTAAAAGAATATTATGAGTAACTTTATGTCCACAAATTTGAAAACCTGAATGAAATGGATCAATTCCTTGAAAGATGTAATCTACAAAAACTCACATAAAGAAAAATAGATCCTCTCAATAGGCTTATACCATGGCTTGAACATTTCTGTTCCCCCCTCACCTCCGCAAAACCCTTGAAACCAGAGTTGTTTGTATTAGGAGGCTGGGCCTTTGGCAGGTGCTTAGGTCATGAGGGTGGGGCCCTTGAGAACAGGATTGGTGCTCCTGTAAAAGACACCACACAGAGCTCCCTTGCCCCTTCTTCCATGTAAGGACATGGCAAGAAGTCAGCTGTCTGCACCCAGGAGAGGGTCCTCACCAGAGCCCACTCTGGCACCCTGATCTCAGACTTCCTTCCTCCAGAACTGTGGGAAATAAATTTCTGTTGTTCATAAGGCACCTGGTCTGTGGTATTTTATTATAGCAGCCTGAACAGACTAAGATGGCCTATATCTATTAAAGAAATAAAGTCAGTAAATTAATAGCCTTCCATAACAGAAAGCAACAGGCCCAGTTTTGTTCACTGGTAAAATCTACCCAATATTTAAGAAAGGAATTAAACTAGATATAGAAAACAAAGTAGGGCTTCCCTGGTGGAGCAGTGGTTAAGAATCCGCTTGCCAATGCAGGGGACCTGGGTTCGAGCCCTGGTCCGGGAAGATCCCACATGCCGCGGAGCAACTAAACCCGTGTGCCACAGCTACTGAGCCTGTGCTCTAGAGCCCGCGAGCCACAACTACTGAGCCCACGTACCACAACTACTGAAGCCTGCGTGCCTAGAGCCCGTGCTCCGCAACAAGAGAAGCTGCCGCAATGAGAAGCCCGCAGCACCGCAACAAACAGTAGCCCTCACTAGCGGCAACTAGAGAAAGCCCGCATGCAGCAACGAAGATCCAATGCAGCCCAAAATAAATTAATTAATTAATTTTTTTAAAAAAAGAAAAAAGAAAACAAGCTAGTGGTTACCAGTGGGGAGAGGGAAGGGGGAGGGGCAGGATAGGGGTAGGGTATTAAGAGGTAAAAACTACTATGTATAAAATAGATAAGCAACAAGGATATATTGTACACAGGGAATTATACCCATTATATGGTAATAAATTTTAATGGAATATAACCCATAAAAATGCTGAATCACTATGTTGTACAACTGAAACTAATATAATACTGTAAATCAGCTATATTTCAGTTAAAAAAAAAGAAATTAAACAAATTCTCTACAATCTCTTCCAGAAAATTGAAGAAAAGGGAGTGTTCCCTAACTCATTCTGTGAGGCCAGCCTTACCCTAGTTCCAAAATCAGATAAAGACATTACAAGAAAGAACTGTAGACAAATATCTCATGGATATAGATGTGAAAATTCTCAACAAAATATTAGCAAATTGAATTCAATAATATATAAAAAATAACAACCAGGTGGGATTTATTCTAGGTATGCATGGCTGATTCAGCATTGAAAATCAATTAATATGACCTATCATATCAAAAGGCTAAACAAGAAAACAAATCACACAATCATATCAATAGATACAGAAAAAGTATTTAACAAAATCCAGCATCCATTTATAATAAAAAATTCTTAGCGAATTTAGGATTCGAGTGGAATTTCCTCAACTTGATAAAGAACATCTATTAAAAACCTGAGAGGGCTTCCCTGGTGGCGCAGTGGTTGAGAGTCCGCCTGCCGATGCAGGGGACACGGGTTCGTGCCCCGGTCCGGGAAGATCCCACATGCCGCAGAGCGGCTGGGCCCGTGAGCCATGGCCGCTGAGCCTGTGCGTCCGGAGCCTGTGCTCCGCAACGGGAGAGGCCACAACAGTGAGAGGTCCGCGTAACGCAAAAAAAAAAAAAAAAACCTGAGAGCATACTTAACAGTGAGAAACTACAGGATTTCCTTATAAGATCAGAAACGAGGCAAGGATATTTGCTTTCACCACTCCTATTCAATACGATGCTGGGAATTCTACCTATTACAATAAGACAAGAAAAGGGATTAAAAGATATACAGATTGGGAGGGAAAAATGAAACTACCTTGGTTTGAAGATGACATGATTGTCTATATAGATATCCTACCACCTCACCCCCCAAAAAAACCAAAATCAAAATCAAACCCAAAACCTCCTGAAACTAATAAGCAATTATAAGAAGATACAGAATAAAGGATAATATACAAAAGTCAATTGCTTTCTCATATTCCAGCAATGAAAAATTTGCGTTTGAAATTAGAAACACAATACCATGTACATTAACACCAAACTAGAGAGAGAGAGAGAGACAGAGAGAGAGAAATGCTTAGGTAAAAATCTAACAAAATATGTACAAGATCTATATGAGGAAAACTATAAAATTCTGAGGAAAGAAGTAAAAGAGACATCTAAATAAATGGACAAATATTCTATGTACATGGATAGGAAGATTCAGTATTGTCAAGATTTCGGTGCTTCCTAACTTGATCTATAAAATTCCATTCAAAATTCCAGCCAATCATGTTATGGCTATTGACAAGCCAAGTCTAAAGTTTATAAAGAGAAGCAAATGACCCAGAATATCCAACACAATATATATGTATATATTTTGCCGCACAGCTTGCGGGATCTTAGTTCCCCAACCAGGGATTGAACCGGGCCCTGGGCCCTGGCAGTGCAAGTGCCGAGTTCTAACCACTGGACCACCAGGGAATTCCCTACCCTTGCAACACTGAGGGAGAAGAACAAAGTCAGAGGACTGACACTACCCGACTTCAATCAAGTCTTACTCTAAAGCTACTGCAATTCCAGGCAGTGTAAAATTGGGGAAAGAATAGACCAACAGATCAATGGAACAGAATAGAGAGCCCAGAAATAGACACACACAAATATGGTCACCTGATCTTTGACAAAGGAGCAAAGGCAATTTAATGGGGAGAGGATAGTCTTTTCAACAAATGGTACTAGAACAACTGGACATCCACATGCAAAAAAAAATGGATTTGGACACAGACATTACACCTTTTACAGAAACCAGAGCAAAATGGATCAGAGACCTAGATGTAAAATGTGAAACTATAAAACTCCTAGAAGATAACACTGGAGAAGATCTAGAACATCTTGGGTTTTGTGATGAGTTTTTAGGTACCAATGACATATTCCATGAAAATAAAATTGATGAGATGGACTTCATTAAAAATAAAAACCTATTCTTTGTGATAGATACTTCAGAGAATGAGAGGACAGGTCACTGACTTGGAAAAAACATTTGCAAATCATACCTTTTGATAAAGCACTGGTGTCCAAAATATACAAAGAAATCTTAAAACTCAACAATCTGAATCTTGTTGATGTCTCTACAATTATTTGTTTATGCTCCTGATTCCTCTGGGAATTCCTCGAATCAGGATCAAACTGTGTATAAAACCATACCCTCTGTGCCTCTCCCAGCCTCCATGTTAGATATTCAGTAAAAGGTGCTAAATTTGAATTGCTCAAAACAATTTTTTGGATAAAAGAGCTTGTCTCAAAGATTAACTCTTAAAAAGTAGTGGAAGTTATTACTACATGGCCCCTAGAGTCTGTTGAACCTAGATTGCTCTACAACTAGGAAATGCCCAGATACTGACAGGTGTGCCTCAGAGCATGGAATCCTGGGTACACAGGAGAATCTGGAAGTTGCTATGAAGCGTCTCCAATGCCTGGTCCCATCCCCAGAGAGGCTGGAGCGGCGTCTGGGCATCAGCATTCTTTATAGCTCCCCAGATGACCCCAAAGTGCAGCCAGATGACCTCACGGGGCTAGTGCCACAATCACAGCCTTTCAGCTGCCATCACACCTGACGTCCCAGTCCAGACACCGGCTGATGCCATGATCACACCAGGCATGACAGCTCCCAGCCTCCAGTCGTAACAGCAACTGTTTCTTCCCCACTGGAAAAAGCCCATCCGTGCACAAGAAAACTAGCTGCTATTTGGCTAGTTAGATATTTTAATTATATCCTATTTATTTGTATTTTAATTGGTCACTGCTTGCTTGCAATACACCTCTCGCAAATGACGCTTCTTAGCAGCTACTGAGGACACCAATCTAGGTGGAAAGTGTGTTTTATTTTTAATTCGGCTCACTTGGATTCCGTCATGCATCTACCATGTCAAGGGGCCACCCTATGGCATCATTTTTAACAAGAAGCAGAAGCAAGACTTCTCGGCTTCGCAGCATCCTCCAGGCTGGGTTCTCTGGTGTTACTGGTTTCTGAGATTCACACAAGTGGAAGGAAAAATAAATGGAGTTTTGCTCCAGCCACCCTCAAGGAGAGGCGGGCTGACCTGAGTACCACCTGGCGTGTGACCACCGCAGCAGCCTGGAAAGTGGCCCTGCCACCGCGGGCCACCCCCCCGCCCCGCAGGGCCCAGACACCCCCGTGGAGCCACACAAACTTACGAAGAATGGAATCAGGCCCTCGGCCTTGTCTCTCTCCAGGGCCTCCTGCAGGGCGGAAGCTCGCATGGCAAACTTGCCATCGGAAGGGATCGCTTTTAATTTCACTCCACCAATCAAGCCAGCTCTTTCCACGGAGGAGTGTGCCTGCAAGAGAGCGCAGGGGTAGAGTCTGCAGCAGCTCACAGCCCTCCTGCCCCCCACCTTCCGGCCTGGAGCTGTTTCAGGTCCTGAGGAATCTGCTTCCCAGTTTAATGATTCAGACTCTTAGAGCGAGAAGTGCTCGGCAGCCCTGAGGGTGTTTTCATCCATTGGTTTGAATTCTAGTGAAGCAGTGAATGCCCATTTGAAAGCATAGTTGGGATAATGACACGTAATGGTGTGTCCTTAATAAGGGCACTCAATAAGCTCCGGTTCCTACTCTTTTCCTCTGAGGCTCTAAAATCTCCTGTGAAACGTAAGACAATTCTCGGAAGAACTTCTCATGGTTTGTGCGTCCTCTTTAACCTCAGGGGAGGAGTGAGGTGATCAGGTTATTAATTTACAACCAGCACCTTGACCCCATGTTCCCGGGGGCTAAGGCTCTCCTGAAGTGTAGATTCCATTCAGGAGGAGGTGACAGGCGGTGACTGTCTCAGAGGCCACATCCTTGCTTTTGCTCCCTCGCTGCCCATTCTGCTTCCCTAACTCCTACAGGATTCCCCGGAGAGCACCACTCAATAAACGGTGAACCCCTAAAGCCTCGCATCAGGCCCCGCTCCTGGGGAACCTGCCTGAGAGCTGAGGAAGAATTGCACCCTAGAGCCCATGGCCGTCCGGTGGATGTAAGGAACCCACCTGACTGCCATCACCCAGGATGGTACTGGCCATGCACCATCCTCGGGAGAATCTAGAAGCATCACAAATCACTTCTGTAGGGCGAAATTCCCTCATGGAAACCCTATTGGGAAAGGCTACACCCTAACATTCATAGCAACTTATCTGAGCCTAGATTCACTGAATACCTACACATGCATTTTTTTCAAGTCTCCTCGTGTCTTTCTGGGAAACCAGGGAGATAGAAATAGAAGTGAATAGTTTTCTTGATGTGCAGGGAGCTCTAGTGCCTAGAGTTAGAATACACACAGAGACAGTACTCCTGATTAAGCATCAAAATATGGGTGTTGTGCTGATTTCAGGCTACACGTATTTATTAACTAGAACAAAGTTGTCACAGTTGAAATGCCTGGCTTAAGAAATTCGTTACAAATATTATGTCAGCAGAGCTAAATCAGCTATTCCTTGTGGAACCAAATCCTTCAGTGGTACCATTTTTCAGCACTCTCGACTACACTTTCACTCATGGAGTTACTGCTCAATGCTCTTTCCTCCTGTTCCTTCTCACACAATTCGGTTTTGGTTTTGTTTTTAACCGTTTTTAAGTGGGCTGGTCACTGGAATTGACCCGTATGCTAGATGCCCCTATTTGCAGAGTTCTCTAAACCTTACAAAGCACCATTGTATCCTTCACCTTAGTTTAGCCACTAGCTGGCAGAGCAGCATTATCAGGGGACAGATGCTGTTGGCCCTGTTTGATGGTTAAAAATAATGGCTCAGAGAATTGACGTGATGAACCTGAGATCGCAGAATTTCAAACAGCAGAGCTGGGATGTGAGCCCAGGTCTCTGAGCCCAGGTCCCACATGAATCTCCACAGCTCTGCTCTGAAGGCAGCCAGATGACCTCAACACAAGCAGGTGCAAGTGGGGTCTCGGTGACCTCATGGTACATTTATTTTCTTTTCAACTTGATCTACTAAGTTCCCACCTGCAGCCCACACCTTGTCTTTAGCATAGGTCTCCCTGGGGAACTGTTCTTGGATTGGAAATGTTGCTGCACAGCTTAGGTGGGTTTTGACTTGCTGCCACACCAATCATTCTGCTCTGTGAGGCTCCATGGGGCTCCGGGCAACCACACCCACCTGGTCAGATGCGTAGGCCACCAGCTTCTCCATGATGGTGGCCTGTGTCAGCCCCGGGGAGGCAGCCTGCAGGCATCGTGTCACTTTGGTCCGAGCAGCCAGTAGGGTCACCAGGGTGGCTTCACTGGCACTTCCCTAAATCAAAGAAAAGATCGAAATGGGCTTCCAAGTACAGCCAGGGAATCAACTCTAAACTTGGGAGGTGCAACTTGGGGTCCCCATATTTTCTTAAAAGATGCATCTGAAATTGCCAAGTTCACTCTCCTTTCAACAGGAAAAGGCTGCACACCTGTGACTGCCACTGCAGCTCTTATTATCAATTCAACCTTGCTCTGTCTGTTTTTCATAAGATAACCTCCAGCATGTCTGAGCACTCAGCACGTACCAGGCATCACCGGGCCCACTTCACAGGCACTTTCCTGCGGATGCCTCCTGGTCTACCCAGGAGGTGCTGGCCCATTTCCCCGGGGAAAGGAGGACATGGGGCCCAGGGCACAGCTCTCAGCCCAGCTCTGTGTGCACAGCAACGCGGACAGATAAATCTGTATGTTTCTATAAACGGGATTCCTCTTCTTTGAGACTCAAAAATTGCCTTGCAGGATTTTCCTCAGTCACTGATGGTACAGGCTGAAGTGTGTCCCCCAAAATTTCATACGTTGAAGTCCTAACTCCTAGTACCTCAGGACATGACCATATTTGGAGACAAGACCTGTAAAGGGGTCACTAAGTTAGAGGGTCCCTGATCCAGACTGGCTGATGTCCTTGTAAGAAGAGGAGCTGCGGACGTGCGCACACACACACACACACACACACACACACACACACATACACGCACGCAGGAGAGGCCACATGAGGACACAGGGAGGAGATGCCCGCCTGCCAGCCAAGGGCAGAGGGCTCCGGGAAATCAGCCCTGTTGCCACCTCGACCTCAGACGTCCAGCCTCCGGACTGTGAGACAATCGATGTCTGTTGTTTAAGCTGCCCCTCTGTGGTTGTTTGTTGTGGTAGCCTTAGCAAAAGCTAACACAACGAATGTCGACAACTTATTTTGGCGAAGTAATCAAGAAGGATGCAAAATTCACTCTTCTGAGGGGGGGAGGAAGCGAAAGAGAATATGGATTCAACACCCATAGTGTTAGCCCAGCTAATTTGCAAAATAATCCCATTTCTAAATTTTATCATCTTAGGGTGGGAAACTATGCTCAGAGAGGGTAACTTGCCCCAAATCAGCAGCTAGGGAGTGGCATGGTTAGGAGTGAGCCCATGTGACGAAAGAAACGGAAGAACAGCTTCAGGGCTAACAGCACGTTTTGGCTTCTGTAAGAAACTTGCTTACTTGCTTGGGGCAGGAAGAACCGGGTTCCTGACTGGCTGATTCAAAATTAAACAGCTCCCTCCCTCCCTGGGAACTTCCCGTCCTGTAAAGGGTATAAAGGCCTCGCCCGACTGTTGGTCGGGGTCTCACTCACTTCTCTCCGAGTGGGACCCTGTCCGGACAGCTTGTGTAAGCTTCTATACTTGTATAAATCCTTTGCTAATCTTTCTGATTGGTGTTGGTGATTCTCGGGTGTCCTTGGTTGGGACACGGGTCGCATTTACCGGGGAACTTGACTCCAGGCGTGTGGCTCCCGGACCGCAACATTTGGGGGCTCGTCCGGGATCGGACAGTGGAGGTTAAAGACCTGAAACAGGGTCCCTCCCTGTCTTTGGAATACCCTAAGTGGAGGTAAAAGACCTGAAACAGGGCCCCTCCCTGTCTTTGGAATACCCGAAGTGGAGGTAAAACAGGGTCCCTCCCTGTCTTTGGACTACTCGAAGTGGAGGTTAAAGATCTGAAACAGGGTCCCTCCCTGTCTTTGGACTACTCGAAGTGGAGGTTAAAGATCTGAAACAGGGTCCCTCCCTGTCTTTGGACTACTCGAAGTGGAGGTTAAAGATCTGAAACAGGGTCCCTCCCCCGAAGCCACCGCCTGCTCCTTCCTCGGGTAAGTTTGCGACCCTTGGCTTGCCGGCAAGAAACTAGGAGACTCCATTAAGGCTTGTCGGACGCGACGTTAAGCCTGGAGTCAGGAGGAGTCCCGGGACGCCGCGATTCCTCCTTGGGAATTCAAAGTCGGTTTCGATATTCTTTGGTCCCGACTTTGAACTGGGATTGTGTCAAAACTTGTTGTTCTCTCCTTCTGTCTTTTGTCACTCGTGTGTGTGCTCTTGCATTTGCTTGGACACTTTGGCTTTGTGCTTGTGCTAAAACCTTTAGCTCAACAGAAATTTAACAATGGGACAAGGTATGTTCCGGATGCAGACCCCCCTGAGCCTAGTTCTGGACCACTTCAGAGACTTCCGCCAGATCGCCAGGGAATTCGGGGCCTCTGTATCCCCGGAAACCCTCCGCACCTTTTGTGAATTGGAATGGCCGACATTTGAGGTGGGATGGCCATCCGAAGGTACGTTCTTTATTCCGGTTATAGATGCGGTGGAAGATATTGTCTTTAAGGCACATGATGATCAGATTCCTTATATTGAGTGTTGGCGGGGTCTCGTGGAGACACCACCTGACTGGCTGAGGCCCTGGTTGCCCCCGCCGGGAGCTACCAACAGAAAGGAAACAAGATCTAAAGATAACATATGTGCCGCCAAGATGGCGGACGGGGAAAAAACCTAATGTTAAAAGCTCTAAGTCCCCGCCCCCTCCTCTTGTAGGGGAGGGAGAGGAAGAAGAAGAAACCCCTCCTCCCGAGGCGTCTGCGCCTCCCCCTCCCTATGTCCCTCCCGCGGCGGATACCGGCCCCGATGACGACATCCTCCCAGGTCGGCCCAGGAGACCGCATACCCGGTCTAGAGATCACTTGACTGAACCGAGGCCCACTGCTCTGCCTCTGCGGCAACAAGCACCAAGACCAGGGGAGGCACAGCCCTTTCTTACTTACGCCCCCTTCTCCACGACTGATTTATATAATTGGAAATTACAGAATCCTCCATTTTCTGGGAAACCACAAGCGTTAATCACCAGCCGACCTGGGATGACTGTCAGCAATTGTTACAGGTTTTATTTACCACGGAAGAAAGAGAAAAAGTCATGTGGGGGGCCCATAAACAGGTACTTGGTCCAGATGGACGGCCCACTGATAACCCCAACCTAATTGAAACCGTGCTCCCTAGTACCCGACCAGAATGGAACCCTAACACGGAGGAGGGACGAGGGGATTTGGCCCGTTTTCGCCAGGCTCTGTTAACAGGACTTCGGGCGGCAGCACGAAGGCCAACTAATATGTCCAAGGTTACAGAGGTGACCCAGGGAGCCACAGAGTCTCCAGCCGCCTTCCTGGAAAGGCTGATGGAGACTTACAGGCTATGGACCCCCATAGACCCTGAGGCACAAAAAAAAACAGGCAGGTGGGCAATTAACTTGGCCTTTGTGACACAGTCGGCCCCAGGTATCCGAAGGAAATTACAAAAATTAGATGGTTTTGAAGGGAAGAACTTATAAACTGAGAAGAGACAGTTAAGGCAGGTATTAAAAGAAAAAGTATTCTCAGTCACTAGGCAATGTGTGACTTGTGCACAAGTAAACCAAGGGGCCAACTCACAACACCAGGAACTGCATCGGTATCGAGGCAACGAGGCAGGCCGCTTTTGGGAAATGGACTTTAGCCTGATAGGAATTTTAAAAGAGGCCTTCTCCCCTCAGCTAAGTATTAAACAAAGGGGAAACCTTTGAGATACAAATGTCCTATCTGGTCTTCTAAGAAACCCTTATCTCTGCCATCTTTTTAAATGCAAATTTAAAAAAAAGAGGGTTAAGTAACTTAACACTTGACTTGTCAAGGATAAATAGAGATCCCAAGTGTCTTTTCTATAAGCACTAGTAAAAAGGGTTTAGCCATCTAGATTGGTGACCTTGATTTGTTCCATCTGCCAGAAGCCCAATTTGAATCCAACCCCTTGTAACTGATAGATTTTATGTTGTACCTGACTCAGGACTGAAATTTTGGAATGGGAACAATGAGACCTCTGTGTTTGTATTTTCATACGTATCTATATGTGTGTTGTAGATGTATGGTATTGCCAAAAATTAATTCATAGAAGAGCTCTACTTAATTGGCTTTAAAAAAAAAATCAAACACTTACATAAATACTCAGAAGTAAAAAAATAATCTGGCCAGAATGAATTTCGGGTTCATGTCATCTGAAAACTATTCAGTACTAAACTGATATCTGGTATTGAAGGTGGCTTAAACTTGTTGGTTTAATATAGACATGTCTTTAGAGTCATCAATGTTGAGTATAATACTTCTGTTGTACCTAGGTTTCCTAACGGTCAAATAAAACCTTATTCCATCTGTTATAAATCTGTCAACAAGAAAAGTAACTCAATGTAAAAAAAAAAAAAAAAACTTTTAAGGAAGGTAAGATGTATGTTTTCAGTAAAAGAAGGTGGGACGAATGAGAATTAAAAAATACTGAAAACAGTAATACATGCTCAGGATTTTCTAAGATTGGACTGAATTTAGTTGGGTAAATGGATTTTATTAGGAATGGGCTAGAACAAGACTGGATTTGGTTTCTTCCCCCAAAGTATTCTTAGAAAGCTGCTTTTGACAACAGACTGTGTGAGTTTCTTTGCATTTAAGTGATCTGTATTTGCTTTTGAGATCTTTTGTAACTTTGGTTAAGGAATAAGTATTGTCTCACAGTGACCTATGATCTTATTTGACCAACTGTTTTAAAACTTTTTGACAAACTTCCCAAATATCAAATTTTAATTGTTTCTTTTGATTTCCAGTTAACTTTGTGATACTTTAGAGGTCCCCTGAGGTATCTTAAAGAAAAATATTTAACTAAGATTACTTGGTATGTTAAACGTAATCATTCATAATTCTCGTTATTGTAACCAAGTTTCTTGATTGATTCCAAGGATTTGGACTGGATACAAAAGAAAAGGGGGGGGGGATTAGATAACGAGAAGGAAGGAATGATATGGATTACAGGGGGCCACTGGGACTCAACGCTGTTTTTGGACCACGGACAGGAAGGTCGACTTGGGCAAGCAGGCAGTCACCCTGCTGGTCATGCCTGACTGCCCCTGTGGGGGCAGGACGGGGATCACCGAGTTTTTATTCCTGAGAACCTAGG